AAATGTTCATTTAACAGTTAACCAAACTTAGAGTTATGGCGACATAAATTGTTTATTGTCCACATTTAGTAACTCAAACTTTAATTAACAATTACCGGTAACCAAACTTTGAGTTAGGCCAAAAGAATGAAAGGTATAGATTTGTGTTCAAAAGTTTAGATTACGTAACTACGCACTGTAGACACCACAGCAGGGTTGGTAACAATCCTGCGACAAGAGGGAGAAACAAAATTCCGTATTCATCACATATACAGGTGAAAAAATTCCATAAAGTGGCCAATGCTAGAAACGAAGAACATAGTATAATAACTCAAAGCCTAGGACTCACTAGTGTGTGTGCAGGACTGTTCGATACCTAATGTTTCCCGATGTGTGTCAAATTGTATCAGTCGGTGGCTGCGGCCCGGTGTATTTCGACTGGAGTTCACGAATTAAAGCCTCAAACTCTATACCTTCACATCTGTAGCGCTAGGCTTCTTTCCCGCGTTACCACTGCATGCGAGCTAACTTGGAACATTGAGTATAATTTCCTAAGTTCCATGGTTAGATGTATTTGAACAGCAATGCATGATGGGAATTTATTATAGTGAAGACAATAAATAGTCAATAAACTGTTCAGTGTGTCAGCTTTCGTTCAGTTTCCCAAACATTGTAACTTTTAGATTTCATTTTTGGTGAGGTTACTCAAAATTGAAAGGGCTTTCAAGTAATTTTTGTCGACCAATTTAAGCTTCATTTGTGCCAAAATTGTTTAATTTTCTCTACCAATAAAGTTGTCTTTTATAGCACTGATATGTGTGTCTCATGATAAATCCAATAGTTTTCATGGCACTTTAGAATTGGTTGACGCATGGTAATGGTAATTTCATTACAGGTATACATCATTCATGTTCATTGGTCAGACGGTGCAACACATGTCATATATAGAAGATACAGCAAGTTCTTTGATTTTCAGGTAGATTAATATAATTTCTTATTTTACTTGAATCCTTTCAAATCTTAACCTTTAAACTTTAACCTTTCGATGCTTCATTCAACCTTTCCATTCTTTACTCTTACTTGTCACATGATTAATACATGTAATAAATATAAGTGGTATATATACCTGGTATATTTCCCTTCATATCTGGTATATTTCCCTTCATATCTGGTATATTTCCCTCCACACCTGGTATATTTTCCTCCATACCTGGAATATTTTCCTTCTACCTGGTATATTTTCCTTCATACGTGGTATATATTCCTTCTTATCTAGTATATTTTCCTCCACACCTGGTATATTTTCCTCCATACCTGGTATATTTTCTTTCATACGTGGTATATATTCCTTCATACCTGGTATATTTTTCTCCATATTTGGTATATTTTCCTTCATATCTGGTATATTTTCCTCCTTATCTGGTATATTTTCCTTTATACCTGGTATATTTTCCTCCATATTTGGTATATTTTCCTTCATATCTGGTATATTTTCCTCCATACCTGGTATATTTTCCTCTGTACCTGGTATATTTTCCTCCATATCTGGTATATTTACCTTCATACCTGGTATATTTTCATTCATATCTGGTATATTTTTTCTCCATACCTGGTATATTTTCCTTCATGCCTGGAATATTTTCCTTCTACCTGGTAAATTTTCCTACATACGTTGTATATATTCCTTCTTATCTAGTATATTTTCCTCCATACCTGGTATATTTTCTTTCATACGTGGTATATATTCCTTCATACCTGGTATATTTTTCTCCATATTTGGTATATTTTCCTTCATATCTGGTATATTTTCCTCCTTATCTGGTATATTTTCCTTCATACCTGGTATATTTTCTTTAATACCTGGTATATTTTCCTCCATATCTAGTATATTTACCTTCATACCTGGTATATTTTCGTTCATATCTGGTATATTTTCCTCCATATTTGGTATATTTTCCTCCATACATGTGTCCAGTATATTTACCTTCATACCTGGTATATTTTCGTTCATATCTGGTATATTTTTTCTCCATACCTGGTATATTTTCCTTCATGCCTGGAATATTTTCCTCCATATCTGGTATATTTTCCTTCATATCTGGTATATATTCCACCATATCTGGTATATTTTCCTTCATATCTGGTATATTTTCCTTCATATCTGGTATATATTCCTCCATATCTGGTATATTTTTCTCCATACCTGGTATATTATTCCTCCATACCTGGTATATTATTCCTCCATATCTGGTATATTTTCCTTCATATCTGGTATATATTCCTCCATATCTGGTATATTTTTCTCCATACCTGGTATATATTCCTCCATACCTGGTATATATTCCTCCATACCTGGTATATATTCCTCCATACCTGGTATATTTTTCTCCATACCTGGTATATTTTCCTCCATACCTGGTATATTTTCCTCCATACCTGGTATATTTTTCTCCATATCTGGTATATATTCCTCCATACCTGGTATATATTCCTTCATACCTGGTATATTTTCTTCCATACCTGGTATATTTCCTTCATACCTGGTATATTTTTCTTCAACCTGGTATATTTTTTTTATACCTGGTATATTTTCATTACTGTATCCATCGTATCATAGTAAAAGTCTAATTCTTCAGCATTATACCATGTTGTATGTTTAAATCTATGCGTTTTCTTATTTCGTACAGTGTTAGAAATCTAGATTCATAAACAATATCAAGGGTCCAGACAAAATATTGAGATGTCTATATGTTGAAGTATCATAGTTTTGTTTCTTGTACTCTTTTAGGTAAAACTTTTAGACATGTTTCCAGAAGAAGCTGGTACAAAGAATCCTAGTCAGCGTATTATACCATTCTTACCAGGTACATTTTAATATTTATTAAATTGTTTATTTATTTATTCAATTATTTATTATTTGTAAAATT